TGTCACCCAACGAGTGGCATTTCCATACTTGCAATTTAAAACCGTTTGCATTTCAATGTGACACGGATATTTCTTTTTCAACGAATGAGAATCTACAAAGGAATTGTTTAGTATTTCTCAGGCATTATATGGAAGTCAATGTGCCATAAAAAACACATTCATTTATTCGAGTGTAAATTGCATTCAATCATACCTATTTCTTGATTGAACCGCGCTGAAAAAGACATCATATATAAATGCATATGCAAGCCCTCTACAGCATATGCTTTTACACAGAGGCACACACACTACCTTCTTCACGCACACACACACACACACACACACACACACACACACACTGACATATATATATATATATATATATATATATATATATATATATCCTATGAGTTTTTGAAATGTTACGATGAAAAATCTCACGTATTTTTCAGTGCAGATATAATAATTATTTTTGGGACATGCCACTTGGATGAAACTACAAGAATATAGAAATAGAACAACAGAATATACAGAAAAGAATTAAAATACCACCCTGCATAAAAGTTAGAAAGTTCAATCTGGTGCATGACAATAAAGTGGGTGCATTGAAATTAAAAGAAAATGCATTGAAACTGAGATATTGGAGAAAGAAGATCTGCTTTATATGCTGAATAATTAGATACATGCTAAAGCTAATATGAATGCGATGCCTGCCGTCTGGTGTTGATACTTGAGTAAACACAACTTGCCTCTCAGAAGACAGATTATTTATGCGGATTTAAAATTATATATGATTTCAACCGAGGTTTAAAGAATTTTGACAAAGACAAATAAAAATAAGTTAGTTCTAGAAATATAAATTTCTTAAGTATTTTAATCTTAGAATCACATTAATGAAACCCTCTTCTGAAAAAGCTTGTAAAGCCAGAAGAAATTTCGCATAAAGCTATTTCGATGAGGAGATGCGAAAAAATCTAGATATGACTGACCTCTAGAATACGTGCTACGGGTTAATCCGCGTTAAATCCGACATGAGAACTATGATATATATACCCGGGTCAAAGACACACCGGAGAGCATATATTTTTGTCGAATATTCAGGCCAGTAGATGAAAATAAATATAATGTTAAAAATAAACCGGGTGCCTACTCAATTATGGGTATCTAGTAAAAATAACGCTTAGAAATGCTAAAAAATATCTCTGTTTGATAATAAAAAAAATCTTTTTCTTTTTGGGAAATTGTTTTGTTTGCGTTTCGATACGAAACTCATCAGATATGAACTTTTGAGAATCTGACACCCACCCACAAATATATATATATATATATATATATATATATATATAGGTAAATAGCAGAATAGATTGGGTTGGTTCTATGGCCTTCGATGGCAACTGATCTAGGGAAGGACAACTCTGAATTCAAAACCCACGGATGGTCGTTTGGGGACCTTGTGACACACGGTGCACCATCTCTGTATTCGGCTCTGCAAAAGTGTGGTTGATTCACCAATATAATCAAATTATATGTGCAGGTTGTCTCCTAGAACTGACTTGCCTGGCCATATATATATATATATATATATATATATATATATATATATATATATATATATATATATTTATATCATTTGTATTTGTATATCATTGCTTGAACCGGCTTCTAATGCTCAAGTTTAAGCGGCTTGGTGATAGTAGTCGTGGCTGCTGGGGGCACAGTCTTATGGTTAGAGAGAATCTCAGTTGAGTTCCACCACGGAATATGTGAGCGAGCAACGCTATATTGAGTCTGATTTGCAACCGAGGGACAGTTGGTATGACGTTTGCTTGATAATCTAGCTGTCCGGGTTTCAATTCTCAGTAGTGGATGCGCCCTGCTGATGAGTCCCAAATATAGGACGAAACAGATTTTCTGCTGAGTTTTCTTTCAGACTCGATGAATTACTTAATTATATAATTTAAAAAGTAAATTATATATATATATATATATATGTGTGTGTGTCTGTGTATATACATATATGTCGAACCAACATAAATTTAGTTCGATGAATTCCTGAAGTTCTAAACGCCTCACACGAAAGCTTTTATCAGATTGTCATACATTTTCCACAATATATATATATTTATATATATATGTGCGTGTGGCGTGTGTGTTATTATTAGTATTATTATCTTTATTATAAGAGATTAGAACAAAAACATGTTGAAGTCGCTACACAAAAGCTTTTGTGTTTTGGTACTATGTTGTTCCTTCATCTGTTCTTAATATGTTCTTCATATATATATATATATATATATATATATATATATATATATATATATATCAGTTATTGCTTGCTCTGTTTCCATTAGTCCTATATCTACACAATATAACGCTTTAATCCAGTAGTTTATTTTTATAATCTTTTTAGCCCCAGGCAAAAACAATAAAAGTCAGGATGTATTGAATTTTAATTAGATTCTGAAAAATGTATAAAGGTAAAAGACAATATAAAAATTGTATTATTAACCGACGCGTTTCATCCAATGTTGCCTTTTTCAAGGCAAAAACGAAATTAATTTATTGAAAACTAAGTAACTATTAACAACAAACAAAATGCCGACTAGAATAACTTAGAAAACGCTATTGTATTCATATTGTCAACTGAAAATTACGTCAAGTACTTTCACATATAGAATATTGCATCTATTGTTGTGTTGACGGATTTCATTCTGAAAAATATACGCTCTATATTTAGGCAAAGATATACAAATTTAGAATGGTTCTGATGAGGAAATTGAAAGTTTTTAAGACGATATTAGACAGAGGAAAAAGAGATGATAACATTTTGATTGGCGGTTAGAACAAAGTTAGGGTTAGGGAAATACCTGGCATCTTGTGTAGGAAGATTTCGAAGAAGACTGATAACGTCAGGTGGAAAATGTCTGTTAACATCTCAAAAATACTCAGATAAAATTTATTGGAAAACAAAGAAGCTTGACTTAAATTGAATTGGAAAGTAAGATCAGAGTGCCACCAAACGTCACGGAGAAATGAAGCATAGATTCACGGCTTCTGTAAACCGACTTTAATAGCCCAAAATAGAGAAAGAAAACATTAAATTTATTTCATAATTATGAATAAAACGAATACCATTAACATTGTTACTATCATAAATAGAGTGAATACAGGAAGCGACCTTAGAATGTGAGCAGCTTTCAGGGTTAAATTTAACTTTAAAAATAGAGAAGAAAACACATCCTGAAAAGGTCAGTGTTTACGGAATTTCAGAGTGAAATTGAACTCAGATTCCAGGCTTTGTGAAATATAATATGAAGCGTAAATTGGTGATTATAATTAAGGAAGCAGCAGAAAAAAACAGTGGAAAGTATGATAAGTCAATGGTAACACTAGACCTAAGAAAAATGGGAGAATCATTCGTAAACACTAAAAATGATAAAACTGAAAATGCAGAACTAAATAACTCATTCAACAAAAAGAGGGACACAAAAAGGAAGATTGTTTTGGAAATAAGAGAATATATCAGGAAACAAAAAGCCTGAAAACTCATGGATAAATCATAACTGCTTACATTGGCAGATAGAAAAGGGAAAAGTCACCACATCTAAGGATATCATGTTACAAAGTAAGCGTGAAGTACTATGCAAAACTATGTCTTTCGAAAATAAAAATATGATCACTAGTCACCTCGGGAGAAATTATTAATGGTTCATAGGTAACGATAAATGAAATTAGGATTGCGTTACAATGTGTGAAGATGGCATAGTAACAGACCTTTTGAAAAATTCAGCGGAGGAATTCCCCAAAGAATTAGAACAATAATTTATTCTCTGCATAACCTTTCATATGATAGTGAAGAAGAAAGAGAGAGACACAAACACACACATATATATATATATATATATAGAGAGAGAGAGAGAGAGAGAGAGTGAGTGAGTGAGTGATAGAGAGAGAGAGAGAGAATGATTGTATGCGAAAGAGAAATCTGTTAGCTTTCGGCAACCTGAATATGAATGATCTTTATAAACGCATTTACCCTCTGAGGAATTCCCCCTTGGAATTACTTTTTGTTCCTATTTTTCTTCTGCTTTATTTCTATTAACGAGTTTGTTCGCGAAAGCTTCGCACTTAGACTCAATATTCTTTGTCCAGTATCCTAACATTAAGCTTTGTCTTCATGTGCGCCGCAAAGAGATGCCCGTTAGTGAAGTAATCAGAGCATTTTTTCTTTCTCTGAAAATAAATTAATTTCAGTGTTTTGTAATTTTTACTGATCAAAAATTCATAATGATTTTTTTTGTTCTGCTTTCCGTTTTACTGTGTTTTTAGTTTGTTTGTTTTTTTCCATTCTTTCTTTTCTTAATGAAGGTGATACTGAAATCTCTGTCGATGTCCGACAAATCAGTTTTATTTTGGCAGCTTTATCCATTTTATTCCGTTATTTAAACATAATCTGCAATCACTTGACCATTCGATACGGAAGTTTCGCTTCTGAATTATGTTGGCGCCTGCGCATTTCGCGTGATGGAATTAATTCTCCTCAACCCTTCTACGTCTTCTTCTTCCTCTTCTTCTTCTTCTTCTCTGCGTACGAACATACGCATCATCTCAGTTTTTTCTTCAAACTTTTTCTTCTCCTCTCCCCCACTCTTTCTTTATCTCTGTCTATCTTTCTTTGTCCTTCAGCATTCATTGGATAGACTCGACCCCGAAATAGAAACAGAATTTGGTAATAAAACATTTTCTATGTTAAATTTATTGTTTTACTATTCCAACGCTGATTTCTAATATCCGTTCGTTTTTGTCAAAACCAACATTCCGGAATGATAAATTCCATACGCAATGTCCAATAGATTAAGGCAAGGGAAATTAAAACGTAAACGAGGTTATTTTGTTTGATTCCGTTTGATTTACTTTTAATTTTATTTCAGTTGCTTTCGTTCAGTTTGAGTTCTTTTCTTCTTTCTTTTTTTTTTTTTTTTGTAAAAAGAAGTATGCAGCAGAAGACATTCGTATTAAAATTATAGAAAAAGAAAGACAAAAGGATTGATTTGAAAATACTGGAGAGTCACTTGTGAGAAGTGAAATCGAGAAAGGAAGAAGAAACATGAGTTGGTAGCGAAATTAATTTTGGAATTAAGATAAAAATGGGAAAAAATCCTAAAAGGTCGTGGAAAATAAGAAGAATGGATGAGGAGAGAAAGAAAGAAAGAAAGAACATCGAAAATGGAAAGAAAGAATAACAGATATAAGAAAGAAAGAAAAAGAAAGAAAGAAACAAACAAACAAACAAAGCTAAAAATTATAGGAATATACGTAAAACGTCTAGGAAAAAGGAAAATGGTAAAAAGGATGACGTATTAAATAAATAAATAAATAAAGAAAGAAAGAAAGAAAGCTAAAATTATAGGAATATATGTAAAATGTCTGGGAAAATGGAAAATGATAAAAAGGATGACGTATTAAAGAAAGAAAGAAAGAGAGAAATAAATAAAGAAAGAAAGATGAAAATTATAGAAATATACGTAAAATGTCTAGGAAAATGATCAAAAGGATGACGTATTAATAAAAGAAAGAAAGAAGTGAGAGAAGAGACGAAAGAAAACGACATGAAAAAAAGAAAGATGCTACCAAGAAAGAGAGGAAAGAAAATACTTCAAGACGGAAAGCAAATAAAAACAAAAGATAAAAATGAATATCAAATTGAGCAGAGAAAAAGCTGAACGTTTTGGTCAATAAACAAAAACGAAGAGCCACAAATTAATGAATTTGACTGTCATGAATCCATTTCCTTGGCCATAGATCAGAAATTAAAATTCACTTAGCGACCGACATAGATTATCAGCGAAAACATTATTTAGATCAACGCTGCCTCCAAAATGGCCAATCAATATTTAGTAAGCTTAGCTTAATACGGTACAAAGAAGTGTACAAATTGTAGTTCGAAAACTTGTATGACATTTCTCTTTCAAGCGAGGGTGTGTGTTCGCACACATAGAAAATTTGTATTCAAAATCCTAGCTACAGACGAATATTAAATTCTAGCCAGGTTATTAATATCAAACAATTGCAGTCACGTAGCGAACCCATATCATGATTTTATTTTGTTTAAACTTTAACATAATATGGTGTTCAGGTCACATATCATCGATAGCTTTCATATAGCTGGAATAGGTAGGGTTTTAAATTCATCGACTGCATCCATTGCAGACGGATAAGTCTCTCGCACAAAAGATACCAATGTCTTGGGTATAAATCCGATTAATTATTTAGCTTTATTATTCTTGGTTAAATTGGACTTATGGAAACCTTTCTGATTATTCTAAATTAAACAGATCTCAAACCTTTTTATTTTAGTTTAAATTGAACATTTGTCAAATCTGATTTTAGTCTAAATTGAACCTATGTCAATCTTTACTAGTCAAATCTAAATTGGACCTATGTTTAACTTTATACCCCTAGCGTAAATCGGGCTTATGCACCCACTTTTAACTATAGTGTAAACTGGAGCTACATCTGAGTGCATAATTGTTGGCTCGGAAATAAACCTGACTAAACTAGTATAAAATGCACATGTGACGTCGTCCCCCCGGTCGCAGCGCTGACTGTGACGTCCTATCCTGATCTACCACGGCACCAGTTGTGACGTCCCCAAACAGCACCAATTGTGACGTCCTCGCCGCGGCGCCAGCTGTTCGCTCCTCGCTGCTCCGTTCGGGTGTCGCTGCTCCAAACATGACGTCCGCCTGTCGCGTCAGTCGAGTTGTCTCGTCCTGTGACGACCAACTGGTTTGGCATCGGTCGCGACACCCAAATGTGACGTTCTAACCTTTTGGCGATTCGGGTGGGAATCTGGTTAGATTTGATATCAGCCTCGTCGTTCCCAACTCGCTTCCAACGCCTGGTTACCAAGGTAACTGCATTGATCTCCAGTCCGCCTACCCACGTTGTGAACTGATCTTAGGCAGACGAGATCAAACAGTGGTTGGGGCCGTTATGCAAATTGAGTTCAACGGGGGTGATACTACACAAATATGCATAAAAGAAAATAAAATGAAAACTCAAAAGTTCAAAGTATCAAAGAAAAAGGTAACAAAACTTTATGTCTAGTTGTTCGATACATAGGACTGCATCTATCTCCCGACCCGTTCTGTGGATTGTGACACGTCGTTTCCGCTAGGCAAGTTTTAACGCTTCGTTGTTTGCTCTCTAAGAAATTGGTGTTTCGGTGTGTCTTTGGACGAAAGTCGAAAAACTTATTTCGGTGGTCTGGTTCTAAGTCGCTCTTCAAAATAATTGTTTTTGGGTTGAAGAGGAGTCCTAAATTTGCGTGAATCTTTGTCAGCTATCTCGAGGCGGCTTCAACTCTGGAAACTCAACTCTCTGCTGGAGCCCGAACTGATTTCTGCCTGTTGGGGGCCTCGCTTTTATTGACGCCGACCAAAACCGGGGTGGGTCTGTTGGCGTCGGGGGGTTCCTCGATAATTCTAAGTACATATCCACCTCTTTTATTTCTGGTTAGGGATTTTCCACTCTTTTCCATTTTTGGGAACCTTTCCTCACTCCCTCTTTCTCACCATACCTCTGAGGGGCGTGAACTACCCTCCCCACTTCTTCGTAGCAGCTTCTCATACTTATACTCTGGATGGAGCGTCGACAGTCTTCTTTGTGCGTCACGTGATCACTCTCGGCCAATGAGGTCTTGATCGGGTATCTTTCCTCCTCCTTCGTGCGTCACGTGATCACCACTTGACCAATGATGTCTTAGTCGGGCGTGAACAATCCGCGGCTTTGTTTCGGGAAAAAAAAATTCTTGCTTAACTAAAAAAAATTACCTCTTCTCTTTCCCTTTTCTTCCGCTTAAATCGCCGTTATCATTTCTCTAGCCACGAACGGACAATATGACAACTCTTGTTCTACACGTGGTGTTTGTCAGGTATTTTATCGCTAATTTATCAAGATGGGTGGTATTCTTAACATGGCTTCAAAAAAGAAATATCCCCAAAGTTTTCAGTCAGTCTGTCGCCTCCAAGGAAGAAAGAAAAACACTTCTGGGTCCCCATTCATTTTCCTTCGGTACATATTCCTGATAACATAATTTTGTTATCGCAGGCCAAAGTTGTTTCGTCGAAAAAAATTCGGTCAGCGGCACTGCTTGTGTGGCATTTAATTTTTCATATCTGTCCAAAGTCCTTTTTAGTGGCCTGTTTCTCGTCACTTATCGAAATAGCATTTTCACTTGAATTTTTTCCTAGCCAGTGGTCCAGCCGTTCGTTTACGCACCTAGATAACACAGCCGTTATCAAAACACCTCTGATTCCTTCTTTCTTTCCCTTTCTTTTTTTTTACTCAGAAATTCCATGTCATTGTAATGACACCCTTTTTCATTTGTTACTTATCAATATTTTCATTGTCTCTTAGCCGTGTGTGTGGATGCTTATCACCTACGATTCGTCTCGCCTTCCTTTCTGCCTTCTTTTCTTTCTCTTCCTTTCTCTGCCTCGTAAATGGTGCCACACACATCTTTCTACCTATTAAAATCAAGTATAAACCACACCTATGTTTATCATTCTTACCCGAGTATATCTGGCCCTAAATATACCTGTTATAATATTTTTCCTATAAGATTTGTATTAAATAACCTATGTTGCCAAATTAACTAATGTAACGTAATCTATATTATTTTCAAAAATCTTTATATCGATGTAATTTAGTCGTAATTTGTTGCAAAATGACTGATTCTCTCACTTGATTCCTCCTGAAATTCTCTTCCTTTACAAGAGCCAGGTAAGGCCGTAAATGAAGTACAGCTGCTATATCTGGGCTGGAGCTACCCAGTCTTGACACAGTCTAAAGGTGTCTACGCGGCCTTGTGGGTGATGAATTATTTTTCACTCTACAATCATTTTTTCGCAGACGAAACGTTTCAAGCCTCTCCCAACGCTATTGCGCACCAGCACCGTCCCGCCACCATCCCTAACCGGCACAGCTATTGCCGCCCAAGCAGCTTACATTGAGTCGAACCACTCTCGTTCCCTTAGTATTCCATTAGTAATTTCCATTCGAACAAATTTTCACGAACCACTATTTCGTGGAACCGACTCCCAAGAGAATGCTTTCCTAACTACTACAATCTTAACCGGTTCGAGTTTATAGTTAATCGTTATCTTTCTCACATGTCTTCATAAACTGCGCCTCTTAGCTCTTACTTTTACCGCTCACAGAACAAACATTTTCAGGAACCCTCTACCTTGAGCGGCTCTTTAACTTTTTTTAGGTTGAACATTAGTAAAAACAAATACGATAAAATTCAATAACTAACCGTAACATTTGTTTTTAAACAAGAAATATTATTTTCATAATCTTGTTTCAACATGAATATTAATTTCGATAAAATATTTTAATTAAAACAAAAAATAGTGATTTCCAAATGCCCTTATATGACACGATGAAAAGAAGAAAAAACTGAAGCAAATGAGAATTAGCATCACTTTTATTTTTTAAGCATATCACGTCAAACAAGGCGGGATTGCCACTAGCACGCAGGGGGTTATGGAGAGTAAAAGTGAGAGAAATGAGTGGGTTGTAGGGGGGGATTTAAGAAAGGGGAAAAGGACAAGGATAAAGGCAACAGAAGATGGCGATTAACGTTGCGTTTAAATTTTTGAAGATTGTAGTTATGAGGGAAACAAGTGTCGGGAAGTGCGAGGAAAGAAACTGTTGGAGTAGAAGTGGTGGTTACATTTAACTATTTCAACACTAAAAGGGTGGGACCTAGATGCCAATCTAGTAGCAAGCTTAAATTCATGTATTGGGGCGACTTGGAAAAACGCTCGGTAAAGCAGCAGCCATGAAAATATTTGTAGAAAAGACAGCAGGAAGTCAGATCACGTCTTGAGAAAGAGTCAGAAATTGAAGAGCCAATTCCGGGCCGATTACATTGCAGATCCTTCTTTGGATTTTGGCGAGAACTTCGAGATAAACGGCAGGGGCCTCTGACCAGATTTGGCAAGAGTGTTCAATGCAGGGACGAATGGTAGATTTGTAGATGTGTAAGATGGGTCCTGATGAGAAATACCTTCTGGTTCGAGACAGTGAAGCAACTTTCCTTACGGAAATGCAGCTAATTAGTTTTTCCTTTGTAAACGCTTCTTTCTATTTATGTGCCATGTCCTTTCAGGACGTAAGCAATCACGGCTCTCCACCTCCCTTTATCCCTTGCAGCTCTCAACAAGTTCCTTCCTTCCGCCTCCTCCCCCAGACCACGTTCTGTCATTCACTTGCTTAAGTCCGCTAGGTATGTCACGTGTTGTTTTCCCTTGTCTCTCTTTCCCTCTATTCGATCCGTGAGTATCAGATTCTTCCTCATTATGCGTCCCAGACACTTCACTAAATTACCTTTTATTTACCAAAATAGGACATTCTCCTGTTAACTCTAAGAAAATCTTAGATGCCATTACTTATCATTTTATAATCATCCCTTTTCTTGGAACGTCAGTAATATCGACAACACATAATTATTTGTCTATATTTCTGAGATGAGGTATTATGTACACTATTTACATTATTCAGCCTATTGTCCTCATCGCCATATTTATTACAACGTTTCGGCCGTTAGACGCTCCGGTCTTCTTCAGGTGGTTGGAACTGATTT